CACACACACACACACAGAGCCCTCTGTAAACATGTTTGCCATCATGGCAGCTCGGTGTGGAAAATGTTGTTTATTTGTTGTTTTGCCTGAAGGGTCAGTGAACTTTACAGCCAACGGAGTTTAATTTAGTTTTAGGTTTTAGTTTTTAACTGTTTTATGTTTTTTGTTTCAAAAATAAAAAACCTAAAACGAAAAATCGAATAAAAAGAATAATTTAAAAAATCCGTTTTGATCCCATATTTATAAATCGTTAATCTGTTCACTGCACCGACCTAAATATTTAACTTAAGGAGAAAGAGAAATACCACAGAAGTATTAATCAGTTAATGTACTTAAAGTAAAAATACTCATTATGATGTATATATATTTATATTATATATCATATATATTATTATTATCAGGGTTTTTTAAAGGTAAAAAGTAACTAAGTGTCAAATAAATGTAGTGTAGTAGAAAGTAGCATAGAATGGAAATACTCAGATATTTCCCTTCAGTGTGTAACATTGAGGAGGATCTACAGTAATGTAATAAAATATTCACAGGTATGTTTTTATTAGTGTTTAATCACCTGAATAAAGTTGTGTTTTTGTGACCTTAGAATGAAACGTTTTTATCTACGGTTTTTTGCCTTCCATGGAGTCGGCCGTTCTTGTTCCCAGGTTGTCAAAACAAAGACGCGAGCGGTATTCAGTTAGTTGCAATCTGCAGCTTCTCCTTTACATGCTACTGAGGACCAGTGTGAGGGATTTCCTGGCAGCTACTGGTGAAGGTGAAGGTGAAGCTGAATACAGATCCTCTTCTGATGTAGGAGAAACTCGCAAAACAACATGCAAGGCCCCATCTGGAGCCAATGTTTGTCCCTTCTGGGCTACTGTAGAAACATGGCGGGTCAACATGGCTGCTGTTTGGTGCTGAGTCCGTCGTGTATGAAAACAGCTGTGTGCTGCTGCTGCTAGAAAAACTGAAACATGAAGAAAATGTACCAAAAAAAGAGCTAAAAGAGGCTAAAA